TGGACAAGTTGACATTTCTGGCCTTTAGAAATATCCTGACAACGACTGGATGGATTGCTGTAAAGTTTAGTACAACAATTCATGTTCAGCTGAGTATTTAATTGACACATTTGGCACTGTTCAGAAAGGACAATCTGACTTTCGTCTGTTGTTGGCTTCAGCTAGTAATTTGAACGTGTTTTTCCACGAGCATTAGTTTTATTCGCTTCTTGTTGCGAGTCATAATTTTGAGATATTTTGCATAAGAGGGGCTAATGCCTTGTGTCTTATGTACCGAACTTCCTTGTAACAGTTCATTTCAATCCATAAGCAAAGTGGTTGTAAAATCCTAATGCGTTGTCTTCTCGGTGCACATTTTCTCTTGCTAATGTGCCCCCTGCTCAAGAAAACAAAGGCATTGGAGGAAGATGGATAGTGAGGCGAATAATCCAGTTAGATTTTCATGTGTTTGCGGGCAGATATTTTCTCTTTAATGTGTTTATCATGACTTATGAGCTTCTCTATAGCAGTCATTAACATATGATTACCATCACAAGTCTAATGGGTTTGTCTGTTGTTCCCCCTTCTGCTCAACTGCCTCATCCCCTTTTCAAAATGTTTTCTTTCTCAATCTTTTATCTTCCTCTTTTTAACATTTGCTTCCCATCTCTCTGTCATTCTCTATCGCTCACACCTCCTTTCCACGTGTTTCCACTTTCGGCCCCTGCGGCCTCTCAACTTCCCAAGATAGAGGCTCACACCCACACACTCCCCATTATTGCGTAATTATCTGTGGCCTGTCATTTGAATAATGTTGTGTCCTTTACTTTCAATCTATTTAAATTTTTTGGTTTCATCTTTCACTTGATCTTTATTCACTTTTTCACTCCTCCTTCGCTATATCCCACAATTGGCCCTCCCCCCACCTTCATCTCTGTTGCGTTTCTGTGGCGTCGGAATACTTCTGCTTCCCTGTTTTCCAACACCTCCTCAAAGCTCATTGACTCTCCTCTTCTACTGGGTTATACAGAAATAAATCTATGAGAAAGACATAGCTGAGGATCCTAAAAGCCCACATTGGTCTGCTTCACACCAGCAAACCCTTTCTGTAGGATATTCTTTAATCTTTCAGTGACTGATCACACCTCATATTAAAATATAGGGTGTGATAAAAAAAAAAATGAACCCAACCAATAAAAAAAAAAAAAAAAAAAACTGTACTTGATTGTATTTTGGCCATTATTAACTTCAAGGATGTTTTACTGTACACCTCCGGACCACTGTCATTATTCTTGCTATTTTTAGATTGCTCCCTGGAAGTTCCATTCACACCACTTGCACTCGTGCAGCTGCAGCAGCAGGCTTAATCTTCTGCTCTGTGTCAAATCAGCAATCCTTTCACTTGAATTTCAGTTTGAAGAAGAAGATGCAGTCACAGGAAGCTGACACTTGCAAGTAGGGCAAGGAATCTGTCACTGTAGAACTCCCATGCTGACTGTGATCCTGGGGAATTAATTTATAGTGCACAATGTTGGGGAAAAAAGGCAAGCATGCTCCTTACTGTACTTCTCACCTGATGTGATGTGAGCCACATTTGGGCTCAGGACAGATTCTTCCACTGAATACTGCTGCCTTCAGTAATGATCATTAATGTGAATGTTGAGTCAGTTTGACACAGACGTTTATGTTTGCTGTCTGTGCAAGTCCGAAGTTCTCTGGTGAAACTGAGTTTTC